ATCTGAGATACCATGGTGGCTTCTAATATAGCAATGTATCTGTTTTCATGTTGCTTAGTTCTCTTTTGTTCGAATCCAATATATCCCATAGGTTTCTTGGTACAAAATGACACTGTGATAGAGGCAACATTTTTCCCTTCTGAAGTAATTTCTCAGATTTTCACTGAGTCTTTGGACTTAAAGTTTATTTATCTTTTTGAATGTTTTTAATATTCTTCACCTTCAGCATCTAGTGAAGGTGTATTATACAGTTTATTCAGGCAGCCTGTATATAGGTTAAAGATGCTATGGTTGTCTTCCTGGTGCTTTAGTGTGTAGAATGTTGTGTTAAATTTTTTATTCAGGAAATCGTATTGTAACGCCCCTAGCAAATTATTTATTCTATAAAAGTTAAAGAAATAACATAAGAATACATTGCATTGTGAGAAATTATATAATGAAATGTTGGTGCTTTTTTATTTTTTTCTTGAGGTGGTAACTACATTTGAGAATTAAGACATGAAGGATATATATCTTCTTTTTCTAACTTTACCTTCCTCCTGCTACTGAAAAAGTTCATGAGTTAGTATCTTCCCCTCTGAACAGCTGCACAGGCATCACGTCAAGTCTGTTCATCTGTAGTCTTCAGTGTGAAAGACTTCCTTTTTAGATTTAGGGAGTATCACTTGATGCAGGAAAGATGCTTGTTATGCAGCATAGAAAACTTATTACAACTTAAGGCAGCTTCTGATGAATCTTCATACTGCTATTTGAACAACAGTGCAATAACATCCTTTGGTAGAAAACCCTGGAAAAGTTCCTCCCCTGTGTGGCAAGCACTGAAACCCTTCAGTGAAACAGTGAGTCTGTATTGAGGCTTGGTGTACCGAAAGGGGCATGTCTTTAGACTGCTGATTTGTCTGAGCTCTCTCCACTGAATGAATGAGTTTTTAATAATTCTAAAAGAGCAAGACAGTGGAATTAGTAGAAAAATATAAATGTAACTGAAGATGTTTCTACTTAAAAGACCCAGAGCTTCATACGCAGAACCCCAGAGCACATTCAAATTCTTTGAGTGCTTTAATTTTTTCCTTTTCCTATTAGAAGAAAGAAAATATCAGTGAGCTGGGTGCTGTATTAGTATCTTGGGAGAGTGGAGATGCAAGAAGTTTCTGATCTGTGCTGCCTTGTGCTGAGCCTCTATGGCTCATTTCCTAGCAGCAGATAACCAGAGTACAAAAGCTGGCTGCACCAGGGCTGGAAATGGGAATGTCAGAAGATGGGCTCTGCAATTCTGGAAGATCTTTTAGTCAGGGTAGCTCTACAATGACAGGTCCACCCACTTTCCATCTCTCCAGTGTCAGGAGGGAGACGAGACAGAAAACCACACAAACCCAGAACTGAGACTTCTGCATTTTGACTCCCTCCTCTTCCCTCTGCTGACTGACAAAAACTGAGCGATTTCTTATTCCGGCTGCAGGCATCCAGGGGCGGATGTCTGGAAGCTTGCACTGAATGGACTGGCAACCCCTTAGTTTGAGGTTAAGCATGCACAAAATGGAATTGTTTCTTCCTTCCTGCAAGTCGTTGTTTGCCCTGTTGGCAGAGCAAGGAGGAAAGCTAGCTGTGCCCTTCCTGACGCCTCTTGACTTTGTGGAAAGAAGAACTTAACAGTTTGCCAACTTGGGGAGAAAAAAATGCTATCTAAAGCACTCTCCTCTAAATTGTTGAAGTTTTGTAACCAAACCAACTGGGTGATCTTGAAATCTCTGACACAGTTTTTAGGGAGATGTTATAAAGCTCTTTTAGGATCACTGAATTAACAACTAAAATACGTTTCTGATAATCTATTTTAAAACGTACATCAAAAAAAACACCATAATCATAGAATGTCTCTTATAAATATTTTCCAAGAAAAAATTTCTATGTACATAGCTGTTATTATTTTTGCTAAGCCACAGAATTTAATGTTTCATTCTTAGTTAATATACTACAAAAATATTTACTTGGAGACGTGATTCATTCTGACTAATGGATCAAGCGAATTCAGACCAAACTTGAATAAGGAAATAAATTTAAAACTGGGGGAGAGGGAGTGTGTTGGTTTTGTTTTGGAGTTGGGTTTTTGTTGGTTTTTTTTTGGTGAGGGGAATAGTTTGGTGGGTTATTTTTGTTGTTGTTTGTGGTCATGGTAGTTTTTTTAAGGATAGTAGAACGCCTGGTGTGAAATTAAGGGCAGATAGAAATTAAGATAGGGCAGAGGTGAATCTGACTCAGGCTGACCCATTGGACTAGCACTAGTCTCACTAGTGAGTGGCCTGGAAAGGGCTGCAGTGCATCGCATTGAGCTTACTGTTTGAGAACTCCTTTCTAGCTAATTAAATGAAAGCTGATAATCAATGTCAGGCAGAAGTGGGGCTTTGAATCCTTGGTGTTGCATCAGTAAGTGTTTTAACAGCTCCATCATTATCTTAATTTAAAAAAAAAAGTACGTCCTCAAAAGCCCATCAAGTATAAGTCTCTATAAAGAAGTTACTCTGTTTCATGAAGGATTTTGATTATTTGTTTTGATTAAAAAGTAAAATGAAAGAATATCAGCATTTTTTCTCCAGTAAGATGTCAGCCTGGCCTCTTAGCCATTATGCACCGTAGAAAAAAAATCAAATGTCAACTTTCCCAAGAGATCTTGACAGATCTGCAGATCCAGAATGCACCAAATGCTACCAGCCTGCTACAGCCTGAAAAATTATCTGGCCTTAGCTCTTAGAGGTGATTTCTTTTTTCTTGCTAGCCCAGGGCAGTCTCCTGGAAGCTGGATTTTAAGGCCAGAAAACTGGCTTCCTCAATAGCAGCGTGATAAGCTGTTAAGGAACCAACTGAAGAAGCAGAGTGGGATTGGATGGTTGCCCATGGCACCTATTCCTGGCTCCCCAGGAAACCTGCCTCCAACTCGGGCTCTGCCAAGCATTCTGATTTCAATCAAACAGCTGATTAGAATGAAAAGTGGCTTTTATTATAATATTTTGAGTTATTCCTAGCAACGAGCTTTTGGTCTGGAAGCCACAAATGCATTTTTTTCTTTGATGACTAAAAAGAAAACTTCATATTTTTCCACTGAAAATGTTAAGGAAAACTGCTTTAAAATGAGATGCATCTAAGCCATGTGCATAGACTGTGGGGACATCTGCTGGGGTGCTGGGAAATGGCACACTTCAAAATGGATATTGACAGTGGAATGATTTGAGCATGAATATGCCAAAAATTGTTAAATATTGCGTCATTCTCTTGAGGCTGAGAATTTCACATTTTAGCCACAAAGGAAACCAGGTGCCCCTATCGCAGTATTTCGGTGTTGATCGCTCTTGGAGAACACTTAAGACCCCAGTAAGCACATCCAGACATAACACTCTTAATTTAAAAACTCTGTATTTTGGCCATGTAAAAAGAAATTGTAGAAGAGAAATCTCTGGAAATTCCTTGTAATCGTGGGTGAGCCAAGAGAAGCTGGCGTCCTGTGAGGCAGAGCAGCTCCCTCAGGCCTGACCACATAACAGCCTTCCGTGGCTTCCTGTGCTACCCTTGGGATGGAAACGCTTTTCTTACAGCTGGAAATGAAAAATGGGCTTCCCTCCTGTCTGTGAGCTCTTGTGGTGGCCCTTTGAGGACCAGCAGAGAAGCTTAGGTGATGGGACTGGCACAACCACACCTTGCCACATCGCAGAGTCGGGGTCTGAATTGTAGTGTTGGATTTCTCATTTTTTTTGTTAAAATTAAGCCAAAATGGAATTAAAACCACTAATCCTGAAGGAATGAATGAATTCTGTTCCAATACTTCAGTATAGTCTCAATTAACATGCTAAGATTAAGGAAATGTTCATCTTATCAATTGGAAAAGATGTCACTGGGGTGATGATGCGCATCTCTTCTGGCTATTTGGTCAAAATTACATTTAGCCTTCCATTTTCCTCCTGTACTTCTCATACACCCGTACAATCGGCTTCTCACTGTCTGAAGTTGGTAGATGTTTGAGGAGCTGGCACTGCCTTCTAGATTTGTGTTTGAAAAGTATCTTTGCAGTGATGTTTTCTGCAGGCACGAGAATAAAATGAGGGGTGGAGGGGTATGCATTTGGAATTCTTCTGCTGAAATTTTCAGATGCTTGTGTACAGACAGAGGTCCGCGTTTTTAGACAACTAATATAATTTTCACAAATTCTGAGCCCTTCTTGCCCTGCACTCCTTGTTACTGAAACTGAGTTCAAATCCTTTTTGCAGCTCAATGTCAGTGATGCTCTATAGTCCTTTTTCTTGAATCTATCATATTCCATTTGGAAACCTTCTTGGGCATCAGTGGGTGGAAATTGCTGGTGTCGATCAGGACAAAAGCTGTTTCACAGCTGAGTCGAGTTTCTTAATGCAAAAACAGTGCACCAGGCGCCTGGTTGGAATTATTTTTACTCCATCCTTAAGAATGAATTATTTAAATCTGAAAAATGTGAGGCGAAATATAGGCTCCCCTATAGTCTATATACACTGCCCATAGAGTCTCTATAATTTTAGACAAGAACAAAGCTGAAAAAGCTGGGAGGAACTATTTTTGTTTTTCTAAGTTATAGAAAACTGCCTCTGCCCTGGTGCATCTGTACAGTGTGCTATGTAAATATATTTATGCTTTATCACTAGTAACTGTAAGCGTTTGACTAAATTTTAAAAGGTAAAACAGCTTCAAGAATGCTTTAAAGAATGATACTTTCATAGCATTGTTAATACAGCGGTGACTTACAGCTGTTATGAATTTCAAGTAAAGAAATGAATTTAATTTACCTACATTAGTTCTAAATTATCCTAAGCATGTTAGCTGTACACAGTGTAACTTTGTCTAATATGGTATTTGGTGATAGATGCAAAAGTAGAAATGAAAATAGGACATGTTAAACCAGATACTGTGTAAACTGATTATCCCAGGATATTAAGTTCTATTAAACTTATAATAAAGGTATTTTCCTTTTTTTCCTTATGCAGGGGCGTGCCTCCTTAACAACTGAGAAACAACGCTTTGCCCATAAACACGATGAAATGAAAAATCTAGAAGATATTGTTAAAGATATAAAACCAACTGTGCTAATAGGTAATTTCTTTTACTTTAAAGCAACGACCTTATTCTTTGTTTGAAAAAAATGGGGATGTGGCTTTGTCTGAAGACAAGATCAGGTTCTTCTGAACAGAGTTTACCTTTGTGTGTTTTTAGAAAACATTAGGTGCATAAAGGACTCTATTAAGCAACTGAACAAACAGTAACTATCCAAGCATGTAACAGTGTTTTCACTCGAAGCCATCCATTTTACAGGAAGACTAATCCAAGTTCATTTAAACGTCTGATGGAGAACCTTATCACCTTCTTAAATAACCTCAAACTTGGACTGAGAAAACTGAGCTAAGCACATGTAGAGCTGTGCAAGTATGAGCCATGCTGTAGGTGCATCTTCTTTTCCTTCACATTTAGGTCCTCAGCCACACTTAGGTCCTTTGTGCAGATCAAGAAAACCCACAGATTTTACGAAGACTTTTTCTTTCATAAAAGTTGCAGGATTTGGAATCCCAGTAAAGGATTGCTCTGGTCTCTGCAGTTTGGTTATTATATTACAGTGACAGTTTCAAGCTTAAACCGAAAACACTCTTAAATAGTTTTTGTTTTTTATATGTAAGATGAAGAATTATCTATCTGGCTAGTAAAATCACTCACCAGAAGCTGGAAAACCTGAAATGCCATACTGAAAACTGAGCTACATTTTAAGAGCTACCTTTTTGACTGTGCCTAGACCACAGAGTCCTTGTTCAGTGAATGTCTGCTTTTAACAGTGATCATGAATGAGGTGAATAAGACCTGTCTTTTTCTATGCTCCATAAAGACATGACTGCAAGACAGAGACCAATTCGTCTAGAGAATTTATTTAGTAGAATGCAAGGCTGAAAAAGCTACTGGAACAGAAGACTAGACTGAATGATCTGTGTTATTTATCTGGATAAAGGTGTGTGGGTGCTTAGGGAATGTTTACCGTCAGGAAATATGAAGGTTTACTGTGTTTCCTTTTTATATATAAATCTAAGCAGTTCATTCCCTCGAGGTAGCTTTCTCCTATCCATACTGCATAATGAAGGCTCCTCTAAGAGAAACAGCAATGAAAATTAATATTTGAGTTTTTTTCCATTTGGAGGACTAGTCATTCAGTATCTTCCCTGGGGCAGCAAGAGTCATAAGGCAATTTGTGGATACTTCTCCCAGTGTTTTATTTTGTCTCAGTGAATCCTCTTATACATTTCATTGCCTTCAATGGCTCAAGGAAAAGCCTTAGTTTAGCTTAACCCAATGTAAGAAATTTCAGTTTTAAAACAAAAACAAGTAAAAGAAATAGTGAGGTTGTTCAGAGCATTTTGTTTTAACTTTATAACTGAATATAGTTGTCATTCTTATTATTGGCTGTTCAGAAGCAGTTTTAGAAGATATTAAACATTTGGCTATTGCAGACTTAACCAGAAACTAAGGTGTACAACAGGCTCTTATACAAGTTGGTCTCTGTAAGATGACACTGTGCTTCATGTAGAAGCAGTCAGAAAATACTCTGAGACACCTTTAAGAAATGCCATTCCTGGAGCGTGTACAACGCTCTAGCCAGCTCTGCCAGGTGAGGACCCCTTTCACCTTCCTCCAAGTACCCTGTGCTCTCCTTGAGCAGACACCAAGATGTTGAACGGGCAATGTTGGGATGCTCATTTGTGATTATACTGACCCAAGAGAGATCCTCTCCTGGCCCAGGTTTGAATCTGTTCTTGCTCCCCCAAGAGAGGGGACAACAGCTTTTTTTCCTGCTGTTGAAACTTGGATGCTGTGTGGAAATCAGAGCAGGGAGCCAGACGCTGAGGTCTCTGAGGAAGAAGAATGTTAACTTCTCTACAAGCCAAGTGATAGGAGTCTCCTTGGATGTATAGATCCTTAGGACTATAAAGTCCTTCAAGTACTGTTACCTGTTTCCACTGAAGGCATGGAGAGCAAGGACCTGATCCTTGAATTCCCAACTCTTGTAGGTTAGGCAGAAACACAAGTGTAGTGGCACCTCAGAAACATCACACACACCCCTTTGTGGTTGTGAGTACTGTATGGAGAATAGAAAAGCATCTCTGCTGAGATGGAAAGGGATGTATTAAAAATAAATTGTGGCTGTCAGGGAAGCTTTAGACTCAAAATTGGGATTATTCATCATCTGAGGCTGGAGATGACAGAATGATGAGCTTCTAGAAGGCAGAGACTTCACTCATCGTGTCAGAAAAACCTGACATCTGACACACTGGATTTGGGAGAAACTATCCAGTCTAACCTTAGGAGACAAGGTTGAGCCTTTTTACATCTAATTGGACTTAACCTGCAGGTTAGGTGACACTTCTCTATTTTATATAAAGGGCCTGAGAAAAGTGAAGTGAGAAATTCACCAAACTGTAGAGGGGTGAATAGGTTCTGCCTTATGTTAGGGATAATACTGAAGTTTTGTTCTTTCAAAATGTTTTATGCAAAAGTTTATTTTAACCACATTAGGAAAAAGGTTGAACTCCACTTTAAAGGGGCAGGTATGCGGTAAAAGGAGCTCTGTTCTTTTAAAAGTGACATGCATGTCTGTCTTTGAACTGGTTTTATTTGTTTGCTTGTTGTGTGTGTGTGTTTTTCTTCTTCAGGAGTTGCTGCGATTGGTGGTGCTTTTACTAAGCAAATTCTTCAGGATATGGCTGCTTTGAACGAACGCCCTATTATTTTTGCCCTCAGCAATCCTACCAGCAAAGCAGAATGCACTGCTGAGCAGTGCTACAAATATACAGAGGTAACCAAAGATGAACGTCTCTCCAGTATGCATAATTAAAAGTAAATATGAAATTAAATTTAAAATAGGAGGAAGACAGAGGGTGGAGTAGCAAGTACTAATCATGTCTCTGTGTGTAGGTAAAATGAGTTAAGTAATGTTTTTTTCTGATTTTATTAAGACAGTTTTACTGAAGTCAATATATGCTTGCACCCTCATAAAAACATTTCATAGCTTTTATTGGTGTCAGGCATGACTCATGGTCTTTATGCGTGTGCCAAAGCATCAGTAACCATCCGTCATTAAAGTCTTATGTCTGTTTTTGACTGTGCCATTTTGTGTAATATATACACCCAGTGGCATGCTTTTCATTTGAGATTTTTAGAAGTACTCCTTAGGGTAAGAAAATACTTCAGTACAGGAAATAGAATCTTTAAAGTAATTCTTTGTTAAGAGTTGGGATAATTAACTCCTTTTACAAAGACTTCTATTATGGAAACAGATGAAAATTAAGAGGACTGTGTTTGCTTACTTATTATCGTATTATAGAAGTGCTAACAAACACATTATCCTGTAATTCAGCCTAGAATCTGAAAGGTATGAATACTTGACTGTATGTCTCATAGTGGGTTGTGTTTGGATTTCTTGTCAAACACAGGGCAGTTTGAATGGCAGCTGCACAGTGTTTGAAAGACAGATTTAGCATGCCTGCTCCCCACTGCAGAGCACACAATTACAGCACAGTGCAAGAGCTGGGGACGTGGCCTGCAGGAAGGGCTGGTTACAGTGGGTAATGACATCTGGTAGGCAGAGCAAAAGATGCACTGAAGGATTTGATCTGTCACCAAAATGTATAATAAGCTGGCCATGATAATACTGCATGACACCAAACCAAACAGAATATGCTTCTGAAGAGCTGAATAGCAACAGTGGCATATTTTAAACTGCACGTTTCCAGCTCTTTAAAATAGACAGAGATATTTCTGACACAGGGCGCCTCTGAAGTATTTAACGGTGACATTTATCGCTTTAGCAGTGCTAGCATAAAGGCTGGCTCTCCTTCCCCACCCAAATTTACTGCTTAAATCCAAGGGTGCTCCTTCCCCGGCAAGGCAAGAGCCCGAGGCCTTTGGGCTGCAGAGACAGAGCCTCTGCAACGTTATTCTCCTCATTAGTCCAAAACTGCATTTCCTGTTGTAGAAATTACTGCTCTCTCCCTGTGTATCAGGAGTGATCTGGGGACAACACGCATAGAAGTGCTCCGGGTGAGTCACTTCAGAGGTCCCTCTTCTGCCACCCTTGAACTGCACCCTTGATGGTGCCAGCATCTGCTCCCGTTGGGGTGTTCCTCATCCCAAGGGAGCAGTGAGATTCTGACAAACTTGCAGCTTCCTTGAAGCCAATCTCTTGGTACTCCAGTGGTATCACAGCTCTAAGTGTGCATACTACTGAATGACACCAGGCCAAATATTCCTCTTAGCTAGAATTAAGCCATTAGCAACATGAGCCCTGTTGCCACATCTGGGCCACCCTGCAGGCTTCTGTTGCTCCCCACAGCTGCCTGATTTGTGTTAGCATGGAGCTATGCATGTGTTCGGGTCCTGGGAAGAGATTTAGAGGTCCCATGTGAACTACAATGTAAAATGAGTTAGAGCCAGTTCTCTTGTGCTCAGGACAAGTGATATGGTGTAACTTGTATCTGTACTGCTAAATTCTGTAATTCCCCAAAACAGGCTGGCTCTTCCATACTGCCTGCTGGAACCAGGCAGTGCGTGGTGCCTGAGCCATGGTGGCAACTGTGCTGCTTGGCACTACCCAGAAATCTGCTGGGGAACATCTTAGCAGTTTATCAGTATTGGATGATCACATGCTGGTGCCTGAGCTGGTGCCCTCGCCCTGCTGCCTGCTCAGTATGTTATGATGAGGGGAGCCACAAGGTCCCAGAAGAGGAGGCCCCATCACCAACCTGTGCTATGGGTTGCACCATGGGATAACATACCTCAGATAGAGCTTACATCTCTGTCGTTCTGTAGTGGAGTGTGTGCAGGGACCTCAAGAGGGGAGATCGAAAGGAGCAAAACCCTCTGCCTGTCCCCATAGCTCCTCACAAACTGCCATATCCAAATGTGCAACATTTTAGTGGCCTTAGTGTCATTTTTGTAGATGATCTGCTGTTGGGAATAAATCCAGCAGCGTCACCCATCATTACCAAGACAGTACAGTCTAATTTGAGTTTTGCAGCTCTTCCCATGTACCCTTCTTCTGGTGTGGATGCACAAGGTGAATGATGAGTGCTGGCTTTCACTCTCTCCCCCTCTAAATTGTTCTGATGACTTCTACCTGAATAAGGCAGTGGTTAGTCTCTGACATCAAAGAGTTGCAGGGAACTGCCAGTGATTTTTAGGATTCTGATGTTCTTGAGACATTTTCAGTTAAGTAGCTCTAACACCCTCTCAGATATTAAGAGATGTTAAATAGATGTAACCCAGCTTCCACTGTCATAAAGGGATATGTGAATCGACAGCATCCTCACAACTGACATGCTTTCTCTGGCTTTTTTATTACAATTTAGGGACGTGGCATTTTTGCCAGTGGAAGTCCTTTTGATCCTGTCACTCTTCCAAGTGGACAAACTCTCTATCCTGGACAGGGTAACAATTCCTATGTGTTCCCTGGAGTTGCCCTTGGTGTTATTTCATGTGGACTGAAACATATTGGTGAGGATGTGTTCCTCACAACTGCTGAGGTATTGTATTAAAAACTGTTTTAATTCCTTAATTTAATAACTTGGTAATAATGAACAGTGAAACAAATAGTTAAATATTATCTTTTAAATTAGAAAAACAGTGCTTTCTAAGATTGTTCCTTGCAAGGTATGTTGTTTTTTATACATTCTGTTTGAACAAGTTATTTTTAAAAAGTTAATCCTTGGTTCAAAGGCCATCTGACATAAACTCCATCTTCTTTAGGCAAGAAAAAAGATAAATACTTCAGTATTCAGTGCTGTATTACCACCAGTGAAGGCATGTATGTACAGTTCACATACATGTGCACATAGGTTTTGTTTTACATTGAATATTCCAAAATAGATTGAAAGGAACTGTAATTTGATGTTGATAGCTTTGGGGGGACTTTTGTGGGTGTTTTGCTTGCAAAAATGATTTGAATTTCTTTTAGCTTTTTGCTATTTTTGAGTAGAGCTGTTGGCATCATTTTTTTGTGGACCTCCCTTGTTGACAGCTGCTGAAAGTGCTCCATTGCCTTGTGGCACCTTGCACCACAACTTGACACAATTGTTGTGTTATTCATCCAGGTTTCTTTCTTATCTTTTTCTGCACTGGTTCTTTTCTTTCTCTACACATTTTTTTAATGATCTTTGTTCTGATACTGTCTGACGTGTGAGCTCTCCTCCTTTATCTCCACTCAGTGGGCAAGAGATGACCAGTGAGCAAACACTTCCAGTTCATTCACCACCTACTTCCAATGATTGTTCAAAATGTGACATCTGCTGTCTTATAGTAGGACATCATAAATGCATAGCAAGTGCATAACACTTGTTTTGCCACAGAACAATAAGTCAATCCTTTACCAAGTGAACTCTACCCTAGATGCACTTCAGTGATAATTTCTACCCAGTCCAGCTCATATAAATTACAATCCATAAAAACTTCATGAAAGTGGAGAGTCCTAATCTTCAAAGAAGCTGTGTAAGTACGCTTAGGAATACATGGGTTGTGTAGGTAGCACACAGAGGAAGCCTCAAAGCCATGCAATTATTGACTATTATGGAACAATTTAAAAAAAGAAAAAGAGCAAAAAAGTTGTCCCAATTAGCAGAAGTGAAAATGCCTGACTCAACTCTTGCAGCTTCTCTAAGAGATATTGCATTCCAGGATTCTTGCTCCTTGTGTCCTCCTCATGGATTAAAGGGAAGAAAATGGCCCTTTCCTGTCATTTGGAGGCAACTGATAGGCCATGTGATCCTATGACCAGCAGTATCTGGTATTTCTTAAAGGGTAAGCACCCTTGCTGGATTTCTGAAGGTTTTAAGGTGTTGTACTATGGCATCTTTAAAAACGTTTTCCAGCAGCTTGCCTTTATAAGAAAGACACTCACTATTTCCATCTTTATAATTAGTAAAAAGCCCAGACTGTCTCCACTGGCTTTGACCATCTTAGGAGGGCAATGATCCATCTCTTAAGTCTTCGGATAATTATATCCTCCATTTAAATCCTTCCCTGTAATTTCAGTTGGATACAGTGATCCTTGCTTGCTGGTCTAAAATGCTGTGTTTAATATTGTCTTACTTCTTTGTAGAAGTTGCTTCATTTTGGTTTGGGTGAAATGGTTCCTATGTAGAGAGTGCTGATGGATGATAGTGGGCACATATGTGAATTGAATGATGTCTACTAAGTAAAAAAAAATCTGTTCTGAACAAAGACACTTAACCAACCAAAGAAACGTAACAAAGGGAAGTAAAATGGTATCAGAAATTGACTTTAGCTGAAATTAGCAAAGCAAAGGCAAAAGTGCTTTTTGTTTTGTTTTCTTAGCTTTTTTAATGGAGGGACAAAATCCAAATAGTTTCATGTGGGTTTTAGAATCGTGGTTAGTATTCTCCACTTGAAATGGAAGGACCCAAGATGGTGCAAAATTTAAAGCACCAAACTCATGTATTTTAGACAGAGGGATCTTTCCAGACTGCAGCAGTCGCTTACCTGAAAAAGGAAAGTATAAAAAATCCGCAGCCCACGCTGCATGCCTGCACCTCCTGTCTTCTTGCTTTGCTACCTCTCCAGTTAAATCTGATAAAAGTCACAAATAGCTTATTGTAACTACAACAGATTCTACTTTCAGTGTTCCTTTCTTCCTGTCAAGTAAAATAGAATGTAACTTTGAATTTGGATGACAAATCTAAAGTACTGTAAGCTGTAATACCTCTTAATTGCAGGCAATTGCTCTGCGATGACAAGGGACATTACCTATTCTTCTAAGTCCTATCAAACATATCAAACATAACAAAAGGGGCAGATAGTACTGAACTAATGAAATATTCTTGGCATGTGTGACCTACAGATAAATTACTCCAGAAATAATCCTGTTAAATCCTTTCATTATAGAATATATGTACTCCAGAAGCCAAGATGACCCTACTTGCTTTATGCCATTTGTCTTGGCTGCCTTTCATTTAGGTTCTGCAATAAGGCTTAGATAATTTCTCTCTTAAAACCTTGAATTAATTAAAATTTAAACCATGAAAATAACTATATGGGGTTGGACCTAAGATTCAAACAGCTCAGTATCTTCCTGTGAAAGTAATCAGTAGCAGAAGATTCTTCTGGTGAAATGGCTTCTCATCTTCTGGTGGTC